GCGGAGGAATCGAACTTGGGTCAGCCATATTGGCCGCTTGCAAGGCAAACGCCTTACCCACTGTACTATCGCTCCAGCCCAAAAAGCAAAGACAAAAAAAGAATTTGCTACCACATTGGCATGGCACCTCTTGCTCATTAGAGCACATAATCAAAAGCAAATGTTTGCAAGAATATGAAAATGGAACTTCTGGGGCTGGAGCGATAGCACAGCAGGTAGGGTGTTTGCCTTGCACGGGGCCAACCCATGTTCGATTTTCAGCATCCCATGTGGTCCCCCGAGCACCGCCAGGGGTAATTCCTTAGTGCAGAGCCAGGAGTAACCCCTGAGCATCACCAGGTATGACCCAAAAAAGGGGGGAAAAAAACAGTATTACATTAAAGAAAAAAAAAGAAAATGGAACTTTTGGGGACTGAAGCAATAACACAGTGGTTTAAGAAGCTTGCCTTGCATGCAGCTCACCCTGGTTGATCCCTGGCTCCACATATGGTCCCCTCAGCACTGCCAGGTGGAGCCTCTTACATTATTGGTAGAACTGAGAAGTGGGAATGGGAACTCGTATAGCACTTAGGACACATGCTTATGTGCACTCAACCAGGGTTAGATTCCTGGCATCACATGGTCCCACAAACATAACTGGGTTTAGCTTTTAAGGGCTCTGAGCACCTTGAGGTGTGGCCTTGGAAGTTTCTACAGCACAGGTCTGACCAGGTGTCCAGTTATCATAAGGCTCAAGCATTGCATCTGCAGGCCCTGGAACTGAACTCCCACCCCAGCGCCAGTTGCAGGCCCCCAGAAAAGAAATGTAAAATGATGCAGCTACTATTAAAACAGTTAATCAACTCCTCAAAACATAGAACTGCCAGTTTTGTTGTCAGTTTTTTACCTAAAGAAATAAAAACATGTATCAGGGCCAGGGAAGATATCACAAAGACCACTGAAGTACCCTATGCCTACTTTTAGGTCAAATGTTCATGATAGATAAATCTATAGAAACAGTAGACCAATGGATGCGAAGAAGAGTGAATTCCTTTTTGAAGTGATGAAAAGGTTCTAGAATTTACTCGCAGTAATGGATGAGTATCTTATATGTGTACTAACATTTTAGTACGTGTCCTACATACTAGAAACAAACATATTTTAGAAATAATTGTGAAGAGACTGCCAGTTTTTTTTTTTTTGTAGGAGTACTGCTATTTATTCAGCCACTGATTAGCTGATTGAATTGGGCATGAACTCCACCTTAATTTTTTTTCTTTTTATATTTATTTATTGAATCACTGTGGGAAAAGTTAATAACCTTTCAAGGTTAAATCTCAGTCATACAATGATCAAACACCTTTCCCTTCACCAGTACTCATTTTTTTCACCACCAAGAACCCCAGTATACCCCCCTCCTACCCCCCAAATGCCTGTGAGGCAGATTATTTCTACTTAACTCTTCTCTACATTGATTACATTCATTATTTCAACAAAAGATGCATCATTATTGTTTAGAATTTCCCCCCAAACAGAATTGCTGAAAAGGCATTGTGAAATATTTTGTTTTCTATGGCTGGTTATAAGAATCATATAATGTCACGCGGCCATGATTTTGGATTTCTGCAAAGAGCCAGATAATTACGAGATTGGTTTCTGTGTGTCTGATGTTATAGTTGTGCTGGAGAACCGCTCGTGGGGGATAACTTGTGACCTCAGTAGGGTGTGAAGGACGTGCCGGTACCGCCCCCCTTCCCATGAGACTGCAGTTGCCCCGTCACCGCCTGCTCATACCTGGCTTTCCTATAAGCTCTGAAGTGGCGGCCACCTTGCTGCCAGGGGGGAAAAACGCGGAAGGGAGCAACACCCTTTCCCTCCCGAGGAGGCATGGCACCATAGTTTAACGCATGGTCCATTCACTTTTCTGCCACAAGCTGCCAAGTTCTGGATTAAGTCCTTTTGCCTCTGGAGCCATGGCCATGCCAGAGAACCTCTTGTGTGGGGCAATTTGTGACCTCGGTAGGGCATGAAGGACGTGCCAGTACCGCCCTCCTTCCCATGAGACAGCAGTTGCCCTGTCACCGCCGTCTTATACCTGGCTTTCCAGTAAGCTCTGAGGCGGTGGCCACCTTGCCTCTGGGGCAGGGGGGTGGGGTGGGTATGGCGGATGGGAGCAACACCCTTTCCCTCCCGGGGAGGCATGGCATCATAGTTTAATGCATGGTCCATTCACTTTTCTGCCGCAAGCTTCTGGGCTCTGGATTAAGTCCTTTTGCCTCTGGAGCCATGGCCGTGCCAGAGAACCACCTGTGGAGGGCAACTCGTGACCTCGGTAGGGCGTGAAGGACGAGCCGGTACCGTCCCCCTTTCCATGAGACTGTAGTTGTCCCTTCACCCCCAATTTATACCTGGCTTTCTAATAAGCTCTGAGCCGGCGGCCACCTTGTATGCAGTCCAGATGCATTTATGCCAAAAGCCGCTGGGTTTCAAGATTTGTTTCTGAGTCTCCAGTATCATGCCTATTAATCAGCTTGATCAGGAGCCAGAGAGCCAGTTTGTTGGCAGTGACTCGGAGTCTCGGGATGGGGAGAAAGAGTCGGCTCCACCCCCTTGTGGTGAGGCCCTGTGTGTCTGGTCACTGCAGGCCCAAACCTGACTGTCCAGTGGCCTCTGGAGGATGGTGGTCACCAGGCCACCAGGGGGAACAGGCCAAGGCACGAAACCTGTTCCCACCTGGAGTCGCCCAGCACCAGTAACCTACTGCAGGAACAGGACGCATTTCTGCCAAAAGCCTTTGGGTTCTGAGATTCGTTTCTGAGTCTCTGGGATCATGGCCATTAAACAGTTCTGTCAGGAACCAGAGAGGCCATGCCTCCAATTATATAGCTGAGCCGGAGGTGGTTTGTGGGTGCATCTCCCACATACCTAACTTTTGGCCGTTTACTTTCTTGGTCTGGCCAAAGGCACAGCAGCAATTTTGGGGTATCTGAAAGTCTGACGTTGCCATCGGGCTGCTAATGCACTCACCTCACAGGTACAGATTGACCTGCTGGCGGCACCATACCCCCGGAGACTGCCAGTTTTATTTTATTTTTTTATCTAGGAGTACTATTTATTCAGCCACTGATTAGCTGATTGAATTGGGCATGAACTCCACCTTACTTTTTTTTTCATTTTTTATAATTTTATTTATTGAATCACCGTGAGAGCAGTTACAAAGCTTTTGGATCTAAGTCTCGGTCATACAATGAAACATCCGTACCTTCACCAGTGCCCATTCTCCATCCCTAACAACCCCAGTATACCCCCATCCCACACCCTCCCTCTACCTGTGGGGCAGATGATTTCCACATTACTCTCTCTACTTTGATCACATTTAATATTTTGACACCAGACCCACCATTATTATTTGAGATTTTACCCCAACATTCAGATCTGCTAAGAAGGCAACAGTAGACAATTTGTTTTCTATTGCTGGTTATGAATAACATATGATGTCGCGTGGCTGCAGTAGTGGCCATGCGATTTGAAATTCCGAAATTTTAACACTTAAATCTGGAGGGATTTCTGCCAAAACCTGTTGGGTTCTGAGATTTGCTCCTAACACCCTTTCCCCACTGGGGTGGCCCGATGACAGTAACCTACTGCGGGGTCCAGACGCATTTCTGCCAAAAGCCACTAGGTTTCGAGATTTGTTTCTGAATCTCTTGGATCATAGCCCTAAGCAGCTTGATCAGGAGCCAGAGAGGGTGTTCATGGGTGATGACTTGGGGTCTCATTGGGGTGGGGAGGAAAAGACCGGCTCCACCCCCATCCCATGAGGCCCAACATGTCTCGTCACTGCGGGCCCAAACCTGACTGTCCAGTGGCCTCTGGGAGATGGCGGCCACCAAGCCACCAAGGGGGAGCAGGCGGAGGGACAGCACCTTTTCCCCCCTGGGGTGGCCTGGCAACAGTAACCTACTACCGGGGTCCAGACGCGTTTCTGCCAAAAGTCACTGGGTTTTGAGATTTCTTTTTAAGTCTCTGGGATTATGGCCGTTAAGCAGCTTGATCAGGAGCCAGAGAGGCTGTTCGTGGGCAGTGACTTGGGGTCTTATTGGTGTGGGGAGGAAAGGACTGGCTCCACCCCATCCTGTGAGGTCCAACAGGTCTTGTTGCTACGGGCCCAAACCTGACTGTCCAGTGGCCTTTGGCAGCCACTGGGCCGCCAGGTGGAATAAGCCAAGGCACGAAACCTATTCCCACCGGGGGTGGCCCAGCACCAGTAACCTACTGCAGGGACCAGACACATTTCTGCCAAAAGCTGCTTGTTCGAGATTTGTTTGTCTGAAGGCGCCATCAGGCTGCTGATACACTCGCCTCAAGTACAGATTGACCTGCTGGCGGCACCATACCCCAAAGAGACTGCCAGTTTTAAAAAGAAAATTTAGTTACAAGGAAAGTTCACAGATTTGAAAGGTCCCAAAGCTTGCTGCGAGAAAAATAAGAGTTCAAACAATATAACATGAGGCTGACACCTAAGGATAGTATATACACAGGACAGGAAGATTGCTTCATATCTAGAAGCCTGCCTCATGAGGAAGAAGGTAGCTGGAATAGAGAAGGGATCACTAAGTAAATGATGGCTTGAGGAACTGGTCAGGATGGGAAAATGTGTGCTGAAAATAGATAATGGACCAAACCTGATAACCTCTCAGTATCTGCATTGTAAACCATAATGACCAAAAGTAGAGAGAGAATATGGGGAATATTGTCTGCCATGGAGGCAGAGGGAGGGTGGGAGTATACCGGGGATATTGGTAATGGGGAATGTGCACTGGTGGAGGGATAGGTGTTTGATCATTGTGTGATTGTGACCCAACATGAAAGCTTATAACTATCTCATGGTGATTCAATAAAATTTTAGAAAAAAATGTTGGCAATAAAAAAAGGAGTTCAAAATTTGTATGTTTTAAATGATTTTAGAGTATTTGAAAAACAAGTGGTTTATGTTTTTTTTTTATTTTATTTTCAACTAGGAAAAACTCATTGTATCCAATGAACAGGAAGTTTTACGAGTTCATTACAGAGCTGCAAGAACATTGGCAAATCAAACCTTGCCGTTTAGTGCATGCACTGTTTTACTGGATGCAGAAGTGTACAGTGTGCCATTGGACGCTCAGGTAAAGTACACTGAGAACAGTTAAAGTACTCACAAAGATAACTAGAGTGTTTTTGTGATCTGTTTCCATGGGAAACACTTGAATTCTGTAGTTACATTAAAAGGAAAAAATCTTTAGACCAGATCACCTGATACTGGGGCTGGAGAAATAGATAGTATAGGGGTTAAGGTGCTTGCCAGCTCAGGTTCAATCCCCAGAATCCCATGTAAGCCCTGCCTGATGTAATCCTTAAACACAACTGGGTGTGGCCCCAAAACAGCAAATCAAAAAAAATCACCTGATGACATTTTCTAAGGTCCCCTAAACATTCGATTTATATTATAAAAGCAGATAATGTGCTGTTTTTTTCAAAATAGCTAATTACAGATATACATATTAAAATATAAATAATATAATTTGTTCTTAAAATAGATGTTTATATATTCAGTCTGACCTTAAAGCAACAAGAATAATACAACAAAATGAATTTCTTTATTGTGAAAGTGTTAAAAGGAAAGCAGGGCCAGAGCGAGAGTACAGTGGATACGGCACTTGCCTTGCAAGCAGCTGACTCAGATTCAATCCCTGTCATCCCAGATGGTCTCCTGAGCTTCCAAGGAGTGATCCCTGAGTGCAGACTAAGCCCTGGGCTCAGCTGGGTGTGGCCCAAAAACAACCTCTTTCCCACATCGTCCCCTGAAAATGGGAGGGTAGTTCCAAAAGTACTCCCTGAGCACTTCTGGATGTGGCACAAAAACGAAAGTTATATGAATTCAGTAACAAATGTAGTAGTTGTCATATTTCTGACATAGTTGTACTTCATAAAGCAAAATTAGATCTATTATAAAAACAAGGTAAAAAAGGTAAAGGCCCTCCCGTTGTTCATCGGTTTGCTCGAGCGGGCCCAGTAACGTCTCCATTGGAGACTTTGTTGTTACTGTGTCTGGCATATCAAATATGTCATGGGGAGCTTGCCAGGCTCTGCCGTGCGGGCAAGATTCTCTCAGTAGCTTGCCGGGCTCTCCAAAAAGTACAGAAAAGAAAGGCTCAAAAAAAAAAAGAAAGCTCTAACAGTGATGCTGTGAAAACTCAGCTGTGACATGCAAAATATAGAACCTTATTGCTATTAACACCACACACAATAATCACCTTGAAACATTAAAGACTTAGATATAGCGCTGTAGCACTGTCCTCCCATTGTTCATTGATTTGCTCGAGCAGGCACCAGTAACATCTCACAACAAATTATGAGACTTGTTACTGTCTTTGGCATATTGAATACATCACTGGTAGCTTGCTAGGCTTTGCCATGTCGGTAGCTTCCCGGACTCTCCTTGAGGAGCGGAGGAATTGAACTCGGGTTGGCTATGTTGGCTGCGTGCAAGGCATATGCCCTACTCGCTGTGCTATTGCTCCAGCCCAAAGACTTAGATTTATAGGAGAAAAACATAGGTGATAAAATATAAGAACTCAACATTCAGACTGTCAACTCGAATGGCATGGAAGTCAAGCAATAACAAATGAAAGTGCATCAAATTTTAAAACATTTGTACAATCCACAACAAGGGAGCAAGCCACCTAAAATGGACAAACAGATGAATAGGCTTTTTCCAAAAAGAGGTGTCCCACGACACATTAAAGAATGTTCACCATTACTTATCAGGGAAATGCAAACCAAATCACACTACAGCATCACCTCACGTTATTGAACACATCCTTTATCAAAAAGATTGGAGAAGCCAAAGAGTTAGTACAGGATTAGGCACTTGCTTTGCTTGTGACTATTTCCAGTCCATTGCCCCAGCACCACAAACAGTCCCCTGAGCACCCTCAGTACACTCAAAACCAAGTAATCCCAAACACCACTGGTTGTGACCAAAAAACAAATAAAATATTGGAAACAGAAAATGTAGTGAGATTGGAGATGCAGGAACTCTAAATCTCTGCAGATAGGAATGAAATTTGGTAGTGTCTATGGAAATAGGTACGGATGTTGCTTTTTAAAGGAAATAGAAAAGAGAAGGGAGTAAAAGGACAGTGGATAGGGCACGTGCATTGCACACAGCCAATCTGGGTTCAATCCCAAACACCCCATATGATCTCCCGAGCCCATCATGAGTGATCCCTCAGCACAGAGTCAGGAGTAATCTTGGGCATTGCCAAGTGTGGCCCAAAAACAAAACAGCAAAAGAAATGGACGGGCCTGGAATGTGGCGTAGGTGGTAGAACACATGCTTTGCAGTGAGTGTGATTTCCAGTACTGCATGAACTATAAGCACCACAAAGAGTAACCCCCCACAATAAAAATTAAAATGGAAATTTCAAATGATCCAACAGTACCACTCCTATGCTATTTATCTGAAAGATATGAAAACCCTAATTCAGAAAGAATATTCACATTCCTGAATTCATAGCAGCTTTATTTATAATAGCCAAAAAAACATGGTATCTGCGCAAGAGAGAGTACAGTGGGGAGGTCGCTTGCATTGCACGTGGCCAACCTGGTTCAATTCCTGAGATCTCATCTGGTCTCCTGAGAACTGCTGGGAGTGAGTCCTGAGCACAGAGCCAGGAGTTTTCCCTGAGCATCACCTGGTAAGCCCCAAATGTGCACCACTGCCCCCCCCCCCGAAAAAAAAAATCCATGGAATCAGTCTAAATGCCCCTTGACAGAGGCCTCAACCAAGAACCTGTGGTATATATTCTTCTGTGCCATTATGAAAGTTGAAATCATGCCTTTAAAATGGGTCATCAAGTTCTGAACAAAGCAGAACTTGCGGTGATTATGATAAGTAAAAGAAGTAAGGAAGTAAGAGCTACCAAATGACTTGACTCGTGGAAAATAAGTTATAAGAGCAGTTGACCTGGCAAGAAGCCACAAAACTAACCCCTGTACCCAGCAGTATGTCATTGAAAAAGTAAGAAATGTACTGCTCATATAAGCTTGATACTCACCCCAAAAAAATCTTTATTTAAATACAGGATCCAAAAAGCGGACAGATGCATGAAAAGATGTTCTATATTATCTCACTTAATATTAGAGAAATGAAAGTCAAAAATAGTGAGAGCTGGGGATGTGGTTTTTGTAGCCAAGCACCTACTTTGAGCTCCAGTGAGATTTCACCTAACATTAGCCACAGTATCCAAGAAACAGTTGGTAAGAATATGAAAATTGAGATACTCCCATGCACTGTTGGTGATATTATGTGTAGCCACTACAGAAAACAGTATGAAGATTTCCTTTAAAAAGTTAAACTATCATAGTACAGCAGGTATGGCATTTACCTTGTATGTGGCCCCAGGTTCAATCCCAGGCCTCCCATATGGCCCCCCAAGCACCGCCAGGAGTAACTCCTGAGTGTAGAGCCAGGAGTAACCCATGAGCATCACTGGGTGTGACCCCCACCCCCCAAAAAATAGGCTATTTTAATACCTAGTAGTCCACTTCAGGGTCCCATTCCTGAATGTACACTCAAAGAAATGAACACTAATTTGAAAATACAAATGTGCCCTATTTCAGTCTATTTATAGATAGTTGTCAAGATAAGAAAACCACCTAAATATCCAATGAAAATGATTGAATAAAAAAGATAAAATACATACAGTGAAATACTAAGCCATATAAAAGATGAAATGTGGAGCCAGTGAGATAGTACAGCTGGTGAAACGTTTACCTTGCACGTGGCTGACCCAGGTTTGATTTCTGGCAGCACATATGATTCAAGTCCCTCCAGGAATAATCCTATGTACAGAACCAGGAACAAGCCCTGAACTTTTGTCGGTGGGGGGTGGGGGAAATCCTGGCACTTGTGACAGTGGAAAATCCTTGAGGGGCTTACACCAAATGAAGTAAGTCAGAGGAGAAAGCCTTAACATACAATATTCTCACATGAAATAAAGAAGCAAACAATCAATCATAGAGGCAATATTTTGAACAGTATTGCTTACCAGAGAGAGGAAAAAAATGAAGGCAGGACAGGCAAACTGGGCAAAGGGTTGGTGGTGGTTGGGAACCATGCCATACCTACACTCGGTGGTGGGTATGCTATGGTATATTCAGTTGCTGCGGTGAGAAGGTACAGGTGAAAACTATGAGGTGCTGTAAAGGAATATTAACTCAAAAGAACTTAAAAAACCAAGTATGGACATGGACAGAAAAGGAAGGGTCATCCTAAAAAAGATAAGAAAAATCAGACAAACCAATAACAAAGGATATAAATTACCATGGCAGAGAAAGTACTTTATCCATCTGGGCTTTTATTTTCCCCACTGTTAACCAGCTTACTCTCAATCAGTAAACTTGACTGCTAAAACAGTTTGGGGAAGGGGAGAGCCTTCCAGCCAGTGCTCAGGAGCCAGCAAAACCAGATTCTCTAAAGCCACGGCCTGAGGACACAGATCTAGGAGGGCTGTGCTGGAGTGGGGGTGGGAAGCGGGGCCATGCAGTGCCAGAGATGTGCGTGGAGCTTTTGGAAGGCATGTGTCTTTAACCCTGTGCTCTCTCCCTGACTTAGAACCAAATATTTTTATTCAAATAAAAGTAAAAGACTTCAGGGTCCAGAAGGAGAATACAGGGGTTAAGTGCTTGTCTTGCATGTAGCCAGCCCTGGTTTGACATCCCCACCACCACCACATTTTCCCCTGAAACATATGAGCACTGTTGGGTATGGCCCAAAAATCCCCCCTAAAAAAAGAGTTAAAAGCTTAACATTCAAATTAAATATTAAGCAGCCAGAAGCATGACTCGCCAATTGTCTGCCTTCCATGCCTGAGGTGATAAATTTGATCCCTGGTACCATCCCTACACAATGGAGTACAGTCTCCAACTCTGCTCATAGAATATTTTGCACCTCAGCCAGTGTGTGTGAGCACTGCACCCGAGTGTTGGAGCCCCAGCATACCACACATTAACAACAAGAAGGGGAAAGGAAGAAAAAGTTTATTATGATTTTATTGTCATAATCATGTCATAGCATAATACTTTATATGACATGCTTTCTTGATAAATATCTTTAGCAGATCAATAGGCTTTTATTTAATGACTAAACCCAGGAGTATCTATTCAATATGAAAATAAGTGCTTTATTAAGTTTTATTCTCTTTATGTTTTATATTTTACGGCTTAACACTTTTTACACAGAAACTGAGCTTGCCATTGCAGAGATGGGAGTTGGGGAGCACTAAGACATTGGTAGAGGGTATAGAGTAGAGTTGGAACATTGCAACTACAATATCATAAATCATGGTGCCTCAATTTTTTTTTAATTTTACATGGACTGTTTTACAATATTCAAATATATGAATGTTCTTTTTCAGTCTGATGACAGTAAAACTTCCGTGAGGGATCGCTTTAATGCAAGGCAGTTCATGTCTTGGTTACAAGATGTGGATGATAAATTTGACAAATTAAAGGTATGTATGTTTTAGAAGTTTAAATTAAATCGTTGTTTTCCTCTCAAGATAAATATTTCAGCTATATTGGAGAGGAAGATTAAGAGTAGATACATTAATTTGTCATTTCTCCTTACACAGAATAATAATAAGGAAAAATAGAAAACAGAATTACATTTTTTAGGACCAGTGTAGTATAAAAGATGAAGCTATCCATGAAAAAGCAGTTTGTAATGGGGAACTTCTTAAATTATTATCCAGTATGATTCTACATCATGATTGAGATCAAAAATAAATCCAAATGATTCTATTTATGGGTTCTATTTCATAAATAATTTTCTTTAGATTTTTATTTTTTTAGTAATTGGAAACCTCATTATTTGAAAGAACAGTCTAGCAATATTACAAACCTGGAAATAATTGACAGTTGGACACAGAATAAAACAAATACATAATTTTAAAACATTCTATATATGTAATATATTTCTCTATTAATATATTCCCCTAAAGAAAACATGGATAAGGGGGCTGGAGCAAGAGCACAGCGGGTAGGGCATTTGCCTTGCACATAGCCAACCTGGGTTCAATTCCCAGCATCCATATGGTCCCCTGAGCACCGCCAGGAGTAATTCCTGAGTGCATGAACCAGGAGTAACTCCTGTGCTTCGCCAGGTGTGACCCAAAAAGTGCAAAAAAAAAATGGATAAGATTAATTCTCTGAGTATTCAATAAAATAACTTCTGCCCCCCCCTTTAAATCAACGTTTTATTCTCTTTTCAATAGACGTGTCTTTTAATGAGGCAACAACATGAAGCTGCAGCTCTAAATGCCGTCCAGAGATTAGAATGGCAGCTAAAACTCCAAGAACTTGATCCTGCCACCTATAAATCTATCAGCATTTATGAAATCCAGGAGTTTTATGTTCCCCTTGTCGATGTTAATGATGACTTTGAGTTGACTCCTATATAGAGGTCATTACTTCAGTGTGTCCTCTTAAACTGATGAGGCTCAAGAGTGTTATACTGTGGAATACTGTCTTGTGACAAAATCATTGTTATTATGCCTTTAAAATTGTTAGTAAATTTCAACTGAAGTTGGTAATGTAGTAAACACTGTTGTTTTATAAGAAATGGAAGGAATTATTTTGGATCCTAGATCCAAAGAGTTTCTAACTGAAACGATTATTTATATTGATGAGAAGTAACCATTCCTTTAGAGCAGTGTTTCTCAACCAGGAGCCACTATACACAGACTCCCTGTGAGCCTCCAGGATAGTCCAGTTCAGCACAGGCAAAAAAAAAGTGTAAATGGGAACACAAGACTAGAGGGCCAGAGGAAGGAAAGAGGTCAGAAGGGGCGCCCCCGACGGAGGCTGAGAAACACTGCTTTAGAACATGTTGCCAGACTGTGGGAGAGATTTAGAAAGTTGAGAATTGACTAACAGCGCTGGAAGCTGTTGCATTCCAACTAACAAGATAACCACTAGTATTCAGCTCTCCAAGCTTTACTAAAATACATCCATAAACTAAAAGATCCAGTTCCTACCAAATAGTTTCTAATATAGAAAAAACTTGGCACAAAATTTCTTCAGTTTGTTATCTGTAAATTGATTGTACAGTTTTCTTTTCAGAGTTTTAATACTCTTCCTTTTTAATAACTTATTTTATACATATTGTGCAGATGTAAATCTTGTAATTAATGGTCAGATGTACACAAAGGGATTGATTGGTAGTCAAAACATGTACAAAGAAATAATTATAAAACTGTTTGTCTATGTTTTATTGGACCAAAGTTGTAATTTGTATGGAGTGTCGTATTAGTGTGTTCTGGAAACAAAACTTTTAAATAAGGCATGCATGTGTTTGAGTTAGCTTGTTTTCATCACCATATCTGTAAAGACTGTGAGTTGTATTGCATGCGCCCTATAATTTAATTCTCTTCATAACTGATGCCGAAAGGTAGTGTAAGGTGTTTCATACTAGTCTTGGGATTGTTCCTGTGACTTAAAATGTTGGACATATTATTTAGAATTAGTTATTCAAAGAAAAGCTCTTTTCATCTCACAATAGAGCCTATATAACACCCCCCAAAAAATGCCTTTGAAAATTCTGAAATTGTAAATGTCTATTTTAATACTCAACTATGAAAGAATCTGTGAATATATGTAAATATGTTTAATAAATTTTATTGGTCATGTTAAATCATTGTAAAACTTTTTTACATTGCTTAAATATAATGTTTTAAGCTTAATTGCCTTTGCACTTTTAAAATAAAAACTGAGTACTCAAAAGAGATACTTGGTAGTCTAAGGAAATTTAGGTGTATTCTGATCAATGCAGATAAAATCTCTGCAGTATTGATGAAACTTTATTATGTTGTATTTTTTCCTTGTATCAAGATGCAAAACATAATTTTCAAAATTTTATAATTTAAGATTTGGTGTGCTGCTCTTAATTATTAGCAGTCTGCCTAGGAATATTCCATTTTCTCCTTAATGTGATATAGATTAAATATTCAGGAATATTTTAGATCTGAAACTGCTGCTGAAATTAAACATTTTTCAAAGAAAAATTAGGTTAGTATGAAGTTGACCATAAGTATATGGGAAAAAAATATTACAGAACTTTCCAAATATACTTTCTTAAATTATTGAATTATAAAATACTGAATTTTTTTATTCAGATAGAGAAAAGCAAAAAGAATCACTAGGAACAAAGTGTAATTTAAATTTTTCTTGTAAGTTGAAAATCCCAGGTAATGGGAGAGAATGTAAAATTTGAAGTTTTAGAGTGCAAAGGTTTATATTAAGCTTAGGGATTTTTGAATTTTTACATCAATTTATATTTTAACTCATACTGTACTTGGCATGCGCAATAAAGCCGCACGTGTTAAAAATACACAGTGCAAGGATTTTATTATAAAAGTTGGCTGTAGTATTCTTTAGAAATTTAGGTGAAAGATTTTGGCCTTTTTTTATTGGATAAAATGTGGCCAAGAAAGGCAGGGTAGATTTTGAAGCACTGGTTTTGTTGAAGTTAAGTTTATTATTAAAGTTGGGGACATTAAAACCTGATTTATAAAAGCAATACTTTTAATATGAAAAACAATGCAAATTTTATTTGTACTTTTGCCTGAATATATAAAGGTTATTGAGCCTTGAAGGTACAGAAAATATGAGAAGGGTAAGTTTATAGCATTTTGTTCTGATGATCCAACCAGAAAAGGGGTGGCAGGGGAGAGGGCAGTCAATGTTTGGCCAAACATAACAAGTTTGGAAGAGGAAAAGCAAGCAAGCTAGAATCTGGAATATTACAGTGTGTCATACCAGTTTATTAACCCCAGTCCACAACCTCTTTAGTGGTACCTCAAGGAACTGGAGTCTGTCACGATTCTGCTTTCCTTTATAAAGTGGCTCAAAGCTGATTAGATAGCTTAATGCCTTCTTGGTGTGAATTTAAGGAATATATAGTTAAGGCCTTTTGATATTAAATATATTCTGAAGTTCTGAAATGCTAGAAAAACCTGGAATGTGATATATGCCTAAACAGATTTAGGATTCTAAAAAGAAATAAAATGGTTAGTTTAATCAGTGACTTTTTTTTTAACGTCAAATATCATGAACAAGATACTAAATTGTACTGAAGGATTTGTATTTCTTTAAATCTTGTTCTAAATCATACCTGTTTAATAAATGACTAGTTGATATTTGTGCATGTTATTTAATAAAGAGTTATATTTTTATAAAAAAATGTGAAATGTGTGCTAAATGTCTTTTTTTTCCCCCATTGCCATGACTAAGCCAAACACCAATGTTTAAGGGAACAAACAAATTTGCATAAATGCTTAATTTTGGAGAGCCGGTCTCTGAAGAACTAACCTTTCAAGTTCAAGTCTATTCCCTAATGAAGTCTCAAAGTGAATTTTAAGTATTAGACATGCTGCAAACTTCATAACCATAAAAATCTCAAACCACACCATGAAGCTTATTTTAATTGGACTTAAAATAGTTATTCTAGAAAGTGCGAACATATTTAAATAGGGGGGATGATATCGTGTTTTGCCATGTTAGCTATTTGACCCACATCTCATGCATGCACAAACCTACCACTGAGCCACTTTCCCTAAATGTGTATTTTTCTTGGTGACATAAAAAGTTAGCAATATTTTAAATACTGTCTCTGATTTTCAGGCATTTAAAAACAATTTTATATAGAGGAAATGTGCTGAGTTAGTCTTGTGCTTTTGCCCTTGTAGTTTTGTTTGGGGCCACATTTGGCAGTGTTCAGGGCTTAATACCACAGAGACTCTAACTCAGTTCTGCTTCATGCGAAACAAGTGCCCCTCTCCTGTACTGTCACTCTGGCCCAATCTTGTGATTTTGTATTTTCAGTATTTTGTAAATGTTTTTTCAAACCTCGAAGGGAAAAGTAATGTTCTAAGAGATACTAATCTTTGGAAAAATTGTCTAGGAGTTTAAAATGTCTTCATCAAAGTACTCTCCAAAATATTTTTCAGTCAATCAGTAAAACTGTATTCGTGGAAGAAACTGAGACAGAGTTTTAACAATTCCCATAGTAATGATGGCTAAAAATAATCTAGAAATATTAACTATTGGCATAAAAGAATAAAAATAAAATAACTGTTTACTCAAGGACTAAACTTGAAAGCTTTAAATTTAAAGCTATAAACTTTGTTTATATGTGTGCAGTATCTCCAAAGAAGATATAGCATGTAAAACTATGTACCTAAAAAACAATCATAGGCTTCATATGCACATGGATTCAGTTTTATTAGGTGGGTTAGTTCAAAATTTAATGAGGGACTGGAACAATAATACAGCACGTTGGGGCTGTTTGCCTTGCACACAGCTGACCCGAGTTTGAGTACCAGCATCTCACAGTCCCCTGAGAAACACCAGGAGTGATTCATGAGTGCAGAGCCAGGAGTAACGCCTGAGCATCACTAGGTGAGAACCCAACATTCAAAAGAAAATGTTTATTTAACTTGCTAATTAAAAATAAGACACCTGGTGCATTAAAGTTTTATTTTTGGTGTTAGGGCCATACTAGGTTCAGGAGATCATGGGGTGTGAGGGATCAAACATGGGTTGGCCACTTGTAAGAAAAGTGCACTGTGACCCTAGTACTCTCTCGCCCCTTAAAGCTTTTTAGGGGCCAGAGCAATTGTTCAGCAAGTGGGCACTCGCCAAATTGATTCCCTAAAACTGTGTGGTCTCCCGAGCATTGCTAGGAGTGATCCGTGAATGCAGAGCCAGGAGTAAGTCCTAAGTAACATGGGGGTGACTCAAAAACAACAAAGTATGAAAAGATGATTTAACTTTATCCCACATTTACTGGGTCAAAAAGATAGGAGATTAGACTCCTGCTGGCAGGCTGCCAACCCTGACTGAATTCCTGACACTACATATGGTCCCCTGAGCACAGCCTGAGGAAATCCTCAACACTGCAGAGTGTGACCCAAACTACTGGGACCCTCCCCTACACACTGGTCGGCGAAACTTCCCACATCTAAGTATCTGAATAGTACCTTGACACATTCAGATGTGAATCTTCTGTTTTCATGTTTAAAGAAAACTTATCTGGGAACATGTAGGAATGGGTATGTATATGTATTGTTTACACAGAAAGTCCTCATGTGTTTTGTTCTTTTGAAGGGATTCAGGGCCATATCACTGCTTGGCTCAGTCCTTCCCAGGGATCAAACTAGGGTAAGCAACACTTGGCAAGCAATGTGCATACAAGTCCTTAAAAAAAAAAAAAAGCCTATTCACCTTTTAACATCACTCAATTCAAGATACTAGGAAACATTTTCATCTCTCCAGAAAGTTTTCTCATTCACTGCTTTAGTCAGTACCCCCTACCCCAAAGGTAATTACTATTTGATTTGATTCCAATCACCACATATTTTGGCTACACCTTTATTTTTGGCTTTTGGGTCACACCCAGTGTTGCTCAGGGGTTACTCCTGGCTCTGCAGTCAAGAGTTACTCCTGGGGGATGTGGTGCTACCAGCAGGTCAATCTGTACCTGTGAGGCGAGTGCATCAGCAGCCTGATGGTGCCTTCAGACTTCTAGATACCCCAAAATTGCTGCTGTGCCTTTGGCCAGACCCCAACAACTTGGGGCCAAGTTTACCAAGACTTTTCCTCCCTGCCCCAACAAGACCTCGAGTTGCTGCCCATGAACGGCCTCTCTGGCTCCTGATCAAGCTGCTTAACAGTCATGATCCCAGAGACTCAGAAACTAATCTTGGAACCCAGCGGCTTTAGGCAGATGCATCCGGTCCCCACAGTAGGATACCGGCACCAGGCAACCCCAGGTGGGAATAAGTTTCGTGCCTTGGCCTGTTCCCCCTGTCGGCCCAGTGGCTGCCATCCTCCAGAAGCCACTGGGCAGTCAGGTTTGGGCCCGCTGTGATGAGACACACAGGGCCTCACAGGATGGGAGTGGAGCCAGCCCTTTCCTCCCCACCCCAACAAGACCCCCGAGTCACCACCCACGAACGGCCTCTCTGGTTCCTGATCAAGTTCCTTAACAGTCATGATCCCAGAGACTCAGGAACAAATCTCGGAACCCAGCGACTTATGGCAGAAATGTGTACATCCCCGCAGTAGGATACCAGCACCGGGCCACCACAGGAGGGAAAGGGTGCTCTCCCTCCACCTGCTCCCTCTTGGCAGCTCGGTGGCCGCCATCCTCCAGAGGCCACTGGACAGTCAGGTTTGAGTCCGCAGTGACAAGACACGCGGGGCCTCATGGGATGGGATTGGAACCGGCCCTTTCCTCCCCACACCAACGGGACCCCGGGTCTCCACCCACGAACAGCCTCTCTGACTCCTGATCAAGCTGCTTAACGGCCATAATCCCAGAGACTCAGGAACAAATCTCAGAACCCAATGGGTTTGGGCAGAAATCCCTCCAGATTTAATTGGGGTTTTTTTGTTGTTTTTTTGTTTGTTTGTTTTGCTTTTTGGGTCACACCTGGCGATGCACAGGGGTTACTTCTGGCTCTGCACTCCGGAGTTACTCCTGGCGGTGCTCAGGGGACCATGTGGAATGCTGGGAATCGAACCCAGGTCGGCCGCGTGCAAGGCAAACACTCTACCCTCTGTGCTATCTCTCCAGCCCCAAGATTTAATTGTTAAAATTTCAAAATTCCAAAATCGTGCGGTCACTATTGCAACTGTGTGACATCGTATGTTAATCATAATCAGCAATAGAAAACAAATTGTCTACAGCTGCCTTTTCAGCAGATCTGAGTGTTGGGGTAAAATCTCAAATAATAATGGTGGGTCTGGTGTCAAAATACTGAATGTAATCACAGTAGAGAGAGTAATGTGGAAATCATATGCCCCACAGGTAAGGGGAGGGTGTGGAATGGGAGGTCTACTGGGGGTTTTGGTGGTGGAAAATGGGCACTGGTGAAGAGACGGGTGTTTCATCATTGTATGACCGAGACTTAAACCCGAAAGCTTTGTAACTGCTCTCTCAGTGATTCAATAAATAAATTTTTAAAAAGAAAAATAAAAGAAGGTGGAGTTCATGCCCAATTCAATCAACCTAATCAGTGTCTGAATAAATAGCAATACTCCTACATTAAAAAATAAATAAACACCCAAAAGGAGAGAGAGAACAAAAGGGAATGCCCTGCCACAGAGGCAGGGGGGGATCGGGGGGATGGGGGATGGGAGGGATACAGGGATCCGTGGTGGCAGGAAATGGGCACTGGTGGAGGGATGGGTATTTGTCATTGTATAATTGAAACCCAAGCAGAAAAATTTGTAAGTCTACAACTGTACCTCATGGTGTCTCACTAATAAAAATTAAAAATTTTTTATAAATAAATAAAAAGAATTACTCCTGATGGTGCTTTGGGAGTTTGGGAGCCATATGGGATTCCGGGGATTGAACCCAGATCATCCGCGTTTGAGGCAAATGCTCTCCCCGCTGTACAATCACTCTGGCCGTGGTTATACCCATTTTTTAACTTAATGAGTTAATACATTCTTTTTTGTGCCTGCCTTCTTTCTCCAGCATAAGACTTGTCACTGTCACTGTCCTCCCATTGTTCATCGATTTGCTTGAGCGGGCACCAGTAAAGTCTCCATTGTTAGACATGTTGTTACTGTTTTTGGCATATCAAATATGCCACAGGAAGCTTGCCAGGCTCTGACATGTGGGCGGGATACTCTTGGTAGCTTGCCAGGCTCTTTGAGAGGGGCAGAGGAATCAAACCCAGGTCGGCCATGTGCAAGACAAACACCCTACCCACAGTGCTATCACTCCAGCCCAAATACCATTACAAGATATTAACTTGTACCAAAAGATTTGTATTTCTTTACATCTTGTTCTATGTTTTATATATCAATAATCCCTTTCCCTTTTAGAGGTGTGTGTTGGGGGAGTGTTTGGAATT